AAGACGCTATGGTTTGTATGCAGGGACTAGCATCTGATTTCCTTTCAAACTACATATTCTTAGTTGTTGGAAGAGTTGGTTCAAGTGCTGATTTGATTGTTCAAAGAGTTGAATTTGTTCATGACTCTGACAAGAGAAGCCACCTCATGGACCTTCTTCATGCACAAATGACTAACAACATTCATGGCAAGGTAATATGCGAAGTGCTTTTTGTATCATTCAATTTGGATGTACCTGTGGAATGGAGTCCATGTTTTGATCTGTACAAGGAGTGTTATTATGTGTTATAATACTAGTGAACTAATCAAGGAGGAAAAAGATTTTTATTTTTTATTTTTTAATAGAAAAAAAACTTACTGAGGCATAGTCTCCTCCAGACTATTAATGCTTACTGTTAATTTTCTAGTCAGATACATTATATGTTTGGTTCCAGTTGGCTTGCATTGCTTGATTGAATTTTGAATGTCATTAAATTTTGCAGCAATCTCTGACTTTGGTATTTGTGAAAACAAAGAAGGGAGCTGACGCATTGGAACATTGGTTGTATACTAGTGGGTTTCATGCCACTACTATTCATGGAGATAGGACACAGCAGATGAGTTGGAAAGAATTTTGTGTATATTACTATCTTGTTTAATTTTTTAATTTTCAGCATGCTTGTTAACATAATCATCATGCTGCCTAAATATGCCATTGCAGCTGTGTGCTACTATGTGATAGTTTATCTTCTTGTCGTCCCTCAATTATGTTCATAGGAACTAATTTAGTGACAATTGGTTGGTTACAAGTTAAACTGGAGATCTAAAAGGCAATGCAAGTAATATGAGGATTTTAAGTTGTGATTGATTGTAGTCTATTTTCAAATTTCATGTAGGAAAAAGAGAACTCAGAAGGTAAACAAATAAATTTTCAGTACCGCTGTTCATTCCTTGAGGTTTGTGTGTGTTTATTTATTTATTTAAATATTTGGGCCTTTTGCTTTAAATGGTATAAGGTGTATTACTTCTTTATGTTTGTGACATGAATCGAACAAATTGAGAATTTATGTTGATTTTATTTATCTTTTGCTATCTCAGATATACAATGAACAAATCGGAGAATTAATTGATCCAACCCAACGAAACCTAGAGGTGGGTATTACTCTATCTCTCTCTCTCTCTCTCTTCAATACCTTTTTGGATTACTTTTATATGCTTAATGGTGGTTAAACTGCTGCAGATAAGGGATGATACCAAACATGGATTTTATGTTGAGAATTTGACCGAGGAATATGTGACCAGTTATGAGGACATAACCCAAATGTTAATTAAGGTAGCAAATAACAAGGCATTCAAGTTTTGTTCTTTTTTCCATGAGCATGTTTCTTGTTGTTTATTGAATTAGTGCTACAGATTGCCACTTGTTGATACTTCATGGATTTTCTTTTATGCTTGTTAACTTTTATTTCTGGCTCAGGGGCTTTCAAGTAGGAAGGTCGGAGCAACAAGCATACATTCAGAAAGTTCACAATCCCATATTGTGTTTACATGCGTCATCGAGTCCTGGTGCAAGGTATAATTGAAAATTGGAGTTTGCAATTGCTATCAATTACTATTTGAAATTATCTAACATTTAATATTTTTAGGTTGTGTTTGACTCTATGTATAATAATATATACTGCTAGGATATGTAACCTTCAATTTTTTTGTTAAACAAAATCTTCTTAGTTGCATCATTTTACCCATCATCCATATGCATTTGCAAGAAGCTGATTGTGTTTTTCCTTCTCTTCTTCTTCTTCTTCTTTGAATTAAGCCTAATTTATGTATCACTATGGGTTATAAGTTCATATTTTTATTCACCCAAAAAAAAGTTAATATTTAGTTGGTTCTGAACATGTGTATTTGTTTTCAATTAACTATGCCGGGAAATTGAAACTAATTTCATCAGGGAGATTTGTTATCATCAATTTAATTATCTTTCTATTTAAGTAGTTTAATTATCTATCCTTATTTGCTAAATGCTTCCGCTGATTGGGAGGTTGATTATTATTTTGCAGTTGGTGTCTTCAGAAAGAAAGGTACCAAACTATATGAAGCAAGCTTGAAGGATGAGAAACCTTTAGATCAATGGCTTCATTGTTAAATTAAGCAAGTGTTTTAGTAAATAAATTTAATTTTCCCATCATGTTTACACCTTCAAAATATTCTGTAAATGACATTTGATGTAGAATTTTGTGTACAAAGGATATCTGTTTGTATGGAATTATTATTTTGGGTTGGATTATATTTGATTTGTATAGAATTTGATGTTAAAACACCAAATTTTTGTATGGTTGAAACGAAATAGAAATATGTATTATTTTGTTTATATACAGGGTGCAGGTTGCACGAAATAAATACAGGTTGTGGATAAATAAATTATAATAAAAAAAACACTAAATAAAGTTTTTGGCAAGTAAATGTTTAGTAGCCAAAAAAGAAAAAGTGAATTTGTTAGTGACTAACCAATTGGTAGTCAAAAAGGAAATCAATGTTTTTAGCCACTAAATATTTGGTAGCCAGAAAGAACCCAAAGATTTTTGGTAACTAAAAATTTAGTAGCCAAAACTATATAAGACTTTAGGCGACTAAATAGTTTAGTAGCCAAAAATAAATGAAGACTTTTCGGCGACCAAATGGTTAGTAGCAAAAAATAAAATTTAATGAAAAATAATGTTTTGGCTACGAAATTCTTTAGTCCCTAAATGTAGTAATGTTGTGACTAAAACTTATCTACGACAAAAAATTTTAGTCGCTAAAAATCAAATTAATTTTATTTGAACACTTTTGGCGACTAAATATTTAGTCGCCAAATATCCCATTTCCCGACTACTCAGACTTTAGTAGCCAAATGTTCAGTTTTGGCGACTAATATTTTAGTCGCCAAAAGATAACCTTTGCCGACTAACCAGACTTTAGTAGCCAAAACATTCACTTTTAGCGACCAAAAATAATTTAGTCGCCAATACTTTCGCCGACAGAGTATAGGCGACGACTTTGGCCACAAAAAAAATTAGTCGCTAATTTGTTTTGGCGACCAAAAATGGGGCTTTTGGCGACCAATAGTTTGGTCGCCAAAAGTGTCATTTCCTGTAGTGCTTACACATCAATCAATTTTTATTTTTTATTTTTTTTATTTTTTCTCTTCGCCATCTCTTCAACTAAAATATATATATATATATATATATATTAAGTCATCACAAACTCCAAAATTATTTTTAAAAAGAAAAATGATACAATAATCCTGGAGTATCACGTGACCATACTCCCTCACCAATCACCATTTATTATGCCCCTCATGTTCCTCCATCACCTAACACAAATATACAATACTCCACCTTCTCCACTAATCATACTACCATAGAGTACCACGTAATCATACTCTAAGATTATTGAATAATCATTCAAACATACAACTAAACAAATTTTCAAATTTTATAAATTCTTTTCAAAAAAATTTTGTGGATGGATACAAATTAACGCATGTAAGGTGAGCCCACCCAATACCTACATGAAAATAGATAGAATTAAGGTAATAAAATAAGGATACAACTCCTTTTTAGTAATCGGAGGGTGCTATTCAGCATTGTTGGGCCCTAATCCGGGCTCATGGCGATGATCAAAATCGTTAATATGTAGAAACCATCAGGTACATCATCTCTGTAATAGATCACGTTAATCGGATATCGATAACCATTTGATCAAATCACATTTTTATCACAATTTATATTAAAATTTTCATAAAATGTGATCTGATCAAGTGGTTATCATTATCTGATTAATATGATTTTTTTTTTGTAAGAATGATATATTCAATATGTTCTACACATTATACGGTTTGGATCATTGTCATGGGCCCAAATCAGGGCCCCACCAACGCTGAACAGCACCCTTCAGTTATTGGAGAGAAACTAGGTCCATAAAATAATCCTTTGCAATACAACTTACCAAGTGGCTCTACCATACATGTATCAGAAGGGACCATATTAGTGGTTCATTTTTATTGGACCAAATTGATCATTTAAACTCATTAGACAAAATGATTGACAAGTTAACCTATACAAGGGGATATATGTAAAAACTATTTTATTTATTTATTCAAGTTTCATTTTAAATATATATTATCTAACTTGATCGTTGAAATGTTTTTTGGTCAGCAATCGTCGGTTGAGAGGCATTAACGTTTATTATTTTACAAATTTGGAACGGTACGACTCAATTCTTCATTAATCTCTCGATTAATATATGTAGGGCAATTTCTGTCTCCACAAATATTTTTAAAAATTATTTTGCAAATACAAAACAATCACGGCCATCTCTCATTACCATACATACTGTCTACTACCCTTCACTCTCTCCATAAATACCACGCCATGTACGAACTCAAGCACAGAGTGAGAAGCTAACTGTAATCACTTGCTTTGTGTGTGTGTGTGTGTGTGTGAGAGAGAGAGAGAGAGAGAGAGAGAGAGATGGCAAATGGGTATGTTCTAGTGTTTATGGGTGCATTGATACTAGTTCATGCAAGTGCAAGGACTGTGCCAAGTACAAAAACAACTAGCGTGAATGATAAGCAAACCAACACCGTGAATGTGCCCAATGCCACCGCAGCTAAAGGAAAGGGTGCGAAGGACAAAAACAGTGGTGTCATCTTCGCCGGGGTTGGTATTCTTCCTCCAATTTCGTGGTGGTCTTATTGGTGGACTACCAGTCGGTCCTGTTGGTGGTGGTGCAGGTGGGCTTGGTGCTCGTGCAGGTGGAGTTGGGGGTGGAGTTATACCTTAGATTTTCTTAAACTCTTTTAATAAGAAAAATGTTTCGAACTCTTAAAAAGTAGTCACAATTCTATGTATAATAATGTGATTGGATATAAGTTAACTTTTAATATGTTATACACTTAATGATGATAGATCCAACTCTCATGCCACATCATTATAAGCATTATAAGTAAATTTGTAAGTATAAATATGTGAGCGTATCATGAAAGGAGGATGGATCCCTGTGGTGAAGCAACGGCGAAGAGGTGGAGCATGGGATAAGGAAGTTAGACGCGGCCTCCACACAATATTCGTGGACAACCTCCCTCGTTCCATGGATGCTAAATCCCTGTTCAAGCTGTTCTCCAAGTTCGGCGTTGTGAGCGATGTTTTCATCCCTTTCAAAAGGAGGAGAGTGTCAAACTCCCGATTTGGTTTTGTGAGATTTGGCTGTCCTGTTGCATCAGACGTTGCTATTCAGAAAGCAAATGGCCTTTTGGTGGACGATAAGGTGCTAGCAGTCAATATGGCTTCTTACGACAGGAATAACAGAGTTATACAAAGCCAGAGGCGGGTTCAGAACAACAGAGGTGATATCGAACCAACTACAAAGAAGGGTCAAACGCCATTTGTTGGCTCTAGAACATTCGCACAGGTATTAAAAGGCGGAAAACTCAATGGGGAAGCTTGTACGACCATCAAAGCAAACGAAGATGGCCACGGATGGCTATACGACAGTGTTATAATCAGACTAAAACTGGATTACACTGTAAATAGTATCAGAGAGGCCCTCGAGGAGAAGGGGATATCGCAGGTTGTGGTTAGAAAGGGAGGTGGTCGCGATGTAGTAGTAACCTTTAATTCCCAAGAGGAGATGCAATCTAACGTCCACAATTTGAAAGTATGGTTCAAAGAATGGAGCAATTTTGTTTTAGAATGGCAGCCAGGTCTTCAAATCCAGCAGGAGAGATGCGTGTGGTTAAGCTGTTTTGGCATACCCCTTAACCTCTGGAATAGAAGCACACTAAACAACATTGGCAGTTTGTGGGGGTCAGTTCTTAGCTTAGAGGGTGATGTTAATCAAACTAAGTCCTTCTCCTCTACCAGGATTAAAGTGGTGACATCCTGCATGGGGTTCATCTCTTCGACAATCAATCTGGAGTGTAAGGGCTCACTTTATCCCATCCTTGTGTATGAGGATCACCTGGTTAACACAGTTGAGTCCCCTACCAGCTCACACACTGAGCATGATGATTGCATCTCCATTGTAGGAGTGGGGCCAATTACTTTTCCGCAGAAGTCCGGCGAGGAGAAGGCGGATGACGTTGCAATGGCACATGGTGATCGGAGGCTCACACAGTGCAATAGTGGTGAGCAGAGCGATACAGTGGTTGAGCAGGACGATACAGTGGTTGAGGAGACCTTTTAATTTGTTATACACTTAATGATGATAGATTCAACTCTCATGCCACATCATTATAAGCATTATAAGTAAATTCGTAAGTATAAATATGTGAGCGTCTAACATTACTATTTTAATAATGCATTTATTTGTGATTATTTTGTTTGTGGGTGTATTCTTTTAATGTTCTCTTATTCCGAAGAAGAAAAAAGCTCTCCTTAATTTCTTTTAAAGCTCTAAATGGTTAAATGGTTAAATGGTTAAATGCATGGTCTTGTTTCTAATGTGTTTTTAAAGCTCTCCTTAATTTCTTTTCCTCATTTTATCCTTGTCCATTTAATCGCAGTGCGTAAGTAGCATCACGCTTATTAAAATGCTTGATCATTGAAATCACTAATCTCACAAATGTTTATAACTGTAGATGTGAACTGTAGATGAAAACATTTATGCGAACCAATGGACCTTTTTTCCATTGCAAATTTTGTCATTTTAATGTTCTCTTATTCCGAAGAAGAAAAAAGAACAAAAAAGAAGCAAAAGCGGAAACTTAAAAAAAAAAAAAAAATAGCGGCAAAAAAAAAAAAAAAAAAAAAAAAACTAAGAAAAGCAGTGACAAGTCAGATTCAACTCTTACATCTTAGTGTGAATCTAAATTATACTTGTTTGTTAATGTTTTTTTTTTGTAAGTTCTTGGTCCCTACCATTATTCTTTAATAAAATATAGGGTTAGGAGGTAAATTTAAAAAAGTTTAGAGTTAAATTCATTTAACCCCATGACGGTTAGGGGTTTGAGCACTTTACCCTTTACCCCCTATCATTCAAACATAATGAGAAAATCTCATTGTGATTTTGAATTAAAGTGCTACAGTTAATTTTTTCATTCAAACTAACGGAAAATGTATTATTATGCACACCAATTTTGAAAGTGGGTTTAGTCTTCGAAAAAATTTAATTGAAATTAATACAACAAAAAAAAAATTACCTCTATTTTTTTGCAAATTTAAAATTAGATTAATATCTTAATTATAATAAAATAAAATAAATTAAATTAAAATATAATTAAGAATTGATCTAAAACATAAAATATAAAAAATATTTTTGATTTAAAATATAATTAAATATAAATATAAAATAAATAATAATTAAAATTGAATTGATATATAGTTAAATTAAGATTAGATTAATATGTTAGGAATTATAATAAATAATTAAGAATTTAGGATTAATTGTAATATAAAACATAATTAAATTAAAAGTAGATTAAAAATTAGTAATTACAATAAATAATTAAATATTTAGAATTAATTGTGAACTAAAATACAATTAAATAAAAATTCAAAAATTACAATAAAAAATTTATAATTTATAATTAATTGTGATTTAATTGAATTAATAATAGACATTCTAAATTATGTGTATGAGAGAGAAGAAAGAAAGAAAAAAAAGTTGGAGAGTATTGCAGTCATTTTATGTCTATAGTTAACATTGTTAACAGTTTCATTTTGATCTAAAATCACATGAAGACTTTCTGATTATATTTGAACCATAAGGGTTTAAAGTATTCGAATCTCAAACCATAAAGGGTAAAATGAAATTAACTCCAAAATATAGACCGCCTCGGATTTGTTGATGTTAGAGATTCAATTGAGAATAAGTTTTGAGTTAAAATTTGTCTGACATCAATCAAAATTGGGTTTAAACTGTGATAGTAGGGATTAAATGATTTTTGTTAGCAAAACAGAGTCAATTTTATTTTAATGGATGAAATGAAATAAGCACACATAACAAAAGTAAATTAAGCTTCTTTGTTATTAGCGGCCATGACCACCACCCCTGCCAAATCCAACACCAGCCCCTCCACCCCAGCCTCCACCTCCGCCTCCAAGCCACCTCCCCATCCATATCCTCCTCCGCCACCACCACCTCCTCCATAATCTCCATTGCCTCTTCCATAATCTTTGTCATGACCATTGTTGCCTCTACCACGGCCTCTAATAGATCTGTCTCCATTCCTTCACCTTCTTTGATGGCTACGGTCATTCGATCTTCTTGCACCAAGACAGTATTTATCATTATCTCCACCCCCACCACCAGGGTTGGCACCAGGTACTAAGCCAGTCACTCCACCTGACTCACCACCACTGCCTTTGTCACCTCACCACCTCCATAACCACCATAATCTTTACCACTGCCACCTCCTTCCGCACCACTACTATTGCCTACCACCACCACCGGATTGACTCCAGGTACACCACCAACATTGTGACTTCCACACTCTACATGCCCACAATCCACTTTTGTTTCATCCAATCCATTGGCTCTAGTAAGTTTTGATGTATAAACCCTAGAAGAAAACAAGGACAACACTAGGATTAGAACAAGAAAAGTGAAATGTAATAATGGCTTCATTTTTGCGTCTAACACAATAGAATGAGTAGACCAGAGAGGATTTATATAGATCAAAAACTATAGAAGAAGTCAATATGCAGATCACTTCTCTGCGTGAAGAGACAAAAAATAAAAAATAAAAGAAAAGTTTGCATGGGACATGCACGTGAATCTTGTCAAGAGCTGGCCCAGAAGGGACTCAGCTCTAACTTGAGTACGTGGTGGGCCTACTAGGGCCTTCGCATTTCAGCAAGGTTTTCACGAAATGACGTCACTGTTCTGACCACATAGCGGCTAGGTGCTAACCTAACGTTTGTGGTTCCAAAGTTAATTTGTCCTTGCAATGCCATTTGTTTGTATTGTTTTCTGAATCAGTTGCGTATTAAATGCTACGAAAAATTGTCTAAAATATAAAAAATATATATTAATTTACTCTTTTTATTATAAATTATCATATTACTCTTTTTATTTTTATTTATATATATTTTCTTAAAAAGTTAAAAAATTATTAAAATAGTATATTCTCAAACGAGATCTTAATGATATGTAAGTGATATAATTGATTAATAATTAAAAATACGAGAGAAAATATTGATTTAAATATTTTAATTAATTATTACATCATTAAACTTAAAAAATAAATTTAATTTTTAAACTTAAATATCCAGTCGGTAGGAAAATAAAAGATCGGATGGGCTGCAGATTTCAGTCCAAATCAAATGGGGCCACGTAAATTTTTTTTTTTCCCCACAAATTAAAGGTACAGATCTCTTCACGACACAAGTCCAACCAAAAACATTCAACCTAATATTTAAATGCATCAATGAGGTTTGTGACTGGTGGACAAATTTGAGCATTTAATATTGCAAAAGAACTGGTCCGAACCATCTACTCGAGACTGTATGTAAATCTGTTTCAATTATGAAGTAATATTATCGTTATGGTTCCTTAAAAACAAAAAAAAATAAATAAATAAGAAAATCTACTCAGGACTAAACATCTCCAATTTAGATATCAACAGAAAAGAAATCGTTCTCTGACGTGTCTTATTTAACAACTTGCATTTATCGTTTTCATAATAAAACTTGTATACGGGACCTATCCCCAATTTCCTACTCTTCTATGATAAACGATTTTTTTAATTGATTTTATGTTTTTATTTATTTTTTCAATAGATAGTAAGGGTGAGTTGCGGATATACCGATCCATCAAAACCGACCGAACCGATCCGATCCGTTGTATTTTGGACGGATGCGTGATAACGAGCGAACAGATGACGGATTTGAGGTTCCTTTGGGAGCAACTGAATTGTCAAACCACGAGCACTCCGAGTAATTTGTAAGATTTTGTATTTTCAATTTATTTAGATTTTCTGTTTGTGTTTTCAATTGAAAAAGAATTTAAATATTCTATTGAAAAAGAGTTTTCAACTTGAATATATTTTTTGAATTGAAAAAAATAAATTTATTATTTATCTATATTTTTGGTTTTTAAATCTAACTCTAAAAATAAAAATAAAAAAAATGATATATGCTAGTTGGTTTTAGTTTTCAAAAACAGATATAGATGTAACAATACAGAGACATACAATCTCTACTACTGCTCTGTTTTGGTGGTTTTAATTGTTTTTATATTTTAAGACCCACAGATTGTAACACTTTATGTGGATGAGACATGCTGTGATTGTAATATGTGAATAAGGCATACAGTGATTGTAATATGTGGATAAGGCATACAGTGATTGTAATATTTTAAAATTTCAAACTTTTTTTCTTTAGATGAGGCATGTAGTGATTGTAATATTTTTTTAAGTCATTGGTTGTAATATTTTTTTTATTTGTTTTTTTTGTAAAGAAGTGCATGAATTATATTGAAAATTTATAAAATTTTAAACCGCAAAACCGATTTGCATCTATCCTCCAATCTACCAATCCGCTCAATCCATATCTGCCGAATTGGCAGACGGATGCGGATTAATTTTTTCGAATCCGCCAATCTGGAGGACGGATAGCGGATTAGAGGTTCCGTAGCCACAACCGACCCACGCGCCCCCTAATAGACAGGATAGTAATTACAATTATAAGAAGAATAATACTAGATATTCTAAAAATTCTACTAAAAATTTTACTAAATATCTCACATGGTGTAGGTTTCACGTAAGTCTCACACCCATGTGAAACATGGTATAATTTTTGGGGTTTCTATCGTTTTTGTTATAAGAAATATTTATATCATCAAATATTTTTCATTTTTTTTTTTGTCAATAGATAGGACAATAATTACAATTATAAGAAATATTTACATCTAGCCCACAATCTATCTATACTATATATTATAACAAATGGGCTTTTCATAAGGAACCTTGTGAGAGCTCCAAAAGTTTTAACTAAAATTTTAAATTTTTGAATTAAAAAATAGTTTTAAAAAATACTATTGGTTAACACATTAATGTAACGTTAAGAAAAAATAGTTTTAAAAAATAGTTTCCGCGAATTATGTTTTTCAAAAGGAACGTTAAAAGAAACTCTTCCTGATCTATCCAAACTTACTATCTTTCATAAAAATTCAAAACGATTGATTAAAATTCATTTTTTCTTCGCTTTTTTCAATATATTCTCTCTACACAAAGTCGTAGCTGTTACACAATCAAAAAAAAATTCACACCATATAAAACTTGTTTATCGCTCAAAATATTATTTCATGTAATATATCACCGTAAAACATGGCGCACAAACCAGAAGAATGGAGGTCACAAGGAGTTGGAGATCACATGGTGTTCAACAAGGAAGATGGAGATGTCAAAGTGACCAACAAGGAGGATGGATACCTGTTGTGAGGCAAAAGGGAAGACAAGGAATAGGGAAGGAGGTAGCAAGCACAAATGTATTTACTGCGCTTGTGGATAACCTACCAAACTCAATGAATCCAAAGAGCCTCTTTAACGTTTTTACAAAGTTTAGGGTGGCAAAGGATGTATTTATTCCACATAAGAGAAGAAGGGCTACGAATACAAGATTTGGCTTTGTAAGGTTTGATTGCATTGTGGCTGCCAAAATTGCAGTCCAAAAAGCAGATGGTCTATGGGTGGATAATAAAACATTAGAGGTAAAGCAGGCAGATTTTGGTAAGGAAAAGGCAAATGATAATAATTTAAAAGGTCCTATTCGTACCCAAAGTAAGAGTCAAAATGTTCAAGGTGGGGTAGGAAGAAGTGTAATACAATCCTTTACAAATCACAAATCATATACAGAGGTCATAACAGGACAAATGAGTAGTGGTGTAAACATTACGTTGAAGACTGAGGAAATTGGAAATGGGTGGTTATATAAAAGTATAGTGGTGCGGTTGAAGGCCAAATATGCCAATATTAGCTTGAAAAATGAGCTTCAATCAGTAGGTATTGAGGATATTATGGTAAGAGAAAGTAGAGGACGTGATGTAGTTATAACATTCAGATCAAAGGAGGATATGAGACTGAAAATGAAACCAAGAAAGGAGTTGATCTTGGACTGGTGTGATGATATTACTGAAGGGAAATCAGAGGTAGTGTTGGAGCAAGAGAGAATTGTCTGGATTAGTTGTTATGGTGTCCCACTAAATTTGTGGAACAGTACAAATCTAAAAAGGATTGGTGAATTGTGGGGACAAGTTCTAGGCTTTGATGGCGATATAAACCAGCCAAAATCATTTGTGTGCACAAAGATGAAGATCTACACCACATGTATGGAACCAATTAATAAGGTCGTTAATCTTGAAAGCAGAGGCTCACTTCATCCAGTGCGAGTATGTGAGGAGCAACTAGTAATGGTAAAAACAGTGAAAAAGAGGTGTGAGTATATTAAGAACCAAGATATGGAAGAGATTTGCAGTTCCAATGTGTTGAAAAGGCAAGAGATGAAAGGGAGCAGTAGGGAAGAGGAAGACGATGATGACATGGAGGATGAGTCAGGTCCTGAATTGGAACATAAGGCTAATGTGGCATAAGATTAGGAGTCAGATGGGCAGAGTAGGAGTGAGAAGATGGAGAAGGAGGTGGGCTGGAGGAGTGAGAAAGATGGTGCAGATTCAAGAAGTGGCGTGGGAAAAGAAGCCAATAGTGAGGAATGTAACATAATGATGAAGGCGAAAAACCAAAGAAACGGCTCTGTTAATGAAACTGGTGGGAATCAGAAAAGTGATAGCCAACTACTCATGCCTGATTTTGTTAGAAGTTTGAGTGGGTCGAGTCTGTTTGGGCCTGGTGTGAATATTGAAGTGGTATTGGGCCAAAATAAATCATCAAGACAAGAACATAGGCTGCAAGATAATCATAATGGGTCTTTAATACAGGTTACTAACACAAATGGTTGGACTGAGGCAGTTGGGCCAGTTATTAGAAACTCAAGTTTGTCTAAAGATTATGCTGAAGGGCCTAGTAGTGGACTAGAAAGCAACAGGAATGGAAAGAGAAAGATTAGTAGCAGAAGGAAATATAATCAACAGTGGACAAAGAAGGGTTATTTTGATTTAGCTAGAAGGTATGGTCGAAAAGGGGCAGCAACTAGTATATCAGCTCCGAAGGCAGCAATATGGAGAGCAGCAATGACAGCAATCTCTTTATCAGCATCGATTGAAAATGAGAGGGATAAAGGGAGGCATGTGTTGAATGAAGCTCAAGCAACTCTAGAAATGAGGAAAATCTTGGGATTAGAGTACAATGGAAAGGAAGGTGAAGTGCTGACCAAGATTGTGGAATTAGAAATGAATAATATGGAAAGATTGGAAGGGGGTAACAGAACTGGGACTTAGGGTCCTTTAATTTGGGTGCTATAATGGAGTTAATTTATGTTGTTATGAAGCTTTTATCATGGAATATCAGAGGAATTGAAAGGAAGGAAAAGCAAGGTAAAATTAGAAAGCTACTGAAAGAAAGAAATGTGGATGTTGCAGTGTTTCAAGAAACAAAAAAAATCACAACTTTCAGAGGCTGAAGTCAGAAATCTGTGGGCAAGAGAAAAAAATGGATTTTATGGTTGTAGATGCTGAAGGCTCAGTAGGAGGACTCCTATGCATTTGGAACCCAGATATCTTCCAGATGTCAGAATATTGTAGTAATCAAGGGTTTATTATTATGTCAGGTACATTTTTCAATTTATTTGAATATACTCTATTGAATATTTATGCACCTAATGAAATGGGTGCAAGGGGAGAATTTTGGGAGAGACTGGTCAATTTAAAAAATGAGTTCCCTAAGCCTTGGTGCATAGCTGGGGATTTCAATGAGATTAGGAGTATTGGTGAAAAGAAGGGATGTTCTAGAAGAGATAAGGGTATGAAGGAGTTGAATGAGTTCATAGACAAGTGTGAGGTGGTTGATTTACCACTGTTGGACAGAAAGTTTACTTGGTGTAACTCAACAGATGGGGAAAAATGGAGTAGAATTGATAGGGTCTTAGTTGATCCAAGTTGGCATGAAGTATTTAATTTAAAGCTATGGAGATTACCTAGAGTGGTCTCGGATCATTGTCCTTTATTGTTAATGGAGGACGAGAGGGATTGGGGTCCTAAACCATTTAGGGTTCTAAATGCATGGTTGTTACATAGAGAATTTCAAGCTTTTGTGGAAAAGAATTGGAATAAGGCTAATGTAGTAGGTTGGGCTGGGTATATTCTATGTAATAAGCTGAAGACTCTAAATATAAGGCTTAAGAAGTGGAATGTGGAGATATTTGGAAATGTAATCAACAAGTTGAAGTCCGCAGAGGCAGATTTACATCAATTTGATCTTCTGGCTGAGGATAGAGGCCTTAATGAATCAGAAAAAGTAAGAAGGAGAGATTTTAGAGAAAAGGTTTGGAGATTGAATAGAATGGTGGAATGAATGTGGCTCCAAAAATCAAGACTTGACTGGGCATTGAAAGGAGATAGAAATACAAGATTTTTTCATGTTATGACAAAAAATAGACAAGCAGGAAATGAAATTAGCTCTATTTCAGTGGAGGAGGTGGTGGTCGAAGATCCGGGTCTTATAAAGGCTAAAGTCCTTGAGTATTTCAAGAACCAGTATTCTGAAAATTAGGCGTCAAGACCTCAGTTAAGAGGGTCTTTTAAATCAATTAAAGGAACTATGGAGTTTGGTATGCAGGAAACAGAGTTCACAGAAGCTGAAATAAAAGCAGTAGTGAAAGAATGCGATGGAAATAAAGCACCCGAACTGTCACGCCCCAAACCCGCCCCTAAAAGTTTGGGCATGACTTATTCGGAAACAGACACTAAATCTGATATACATATCATATGGGGCCTGAACGGAAGCATTTAATATCATATAATAACATACATGACATCCATTGAGCTATCACTACTATGCCAGGATCGCAAACAGAACATAAGGCAAATAAACATACAGTGACGTGCATCTGAGAATTCGGCTATGTACATATACATATACAGACCCAGCCCTCAAAATTGGGTGCATAACAAGAATATTGAAAGGTAAAAGGATTATATACACTTTGACCTTAGACAGACAATTAAAGCATAAACCAAAAACCTAGTAAAACCTTGCAAAATGTATGGTTCTATCTAAGTGCCTGGACACACTGGGGTTGACAAGAGAGAGACGAGCCTTAAGGGTTAGGACTAGCCTCCCGGATGCTTACCTACAGAAACGGACAAAACACAGAGTGAGTAAAACTCAGTGAATAATAGTATATAAATAATGTAATGGTTAACTTGAATGATAGAGCATATAACTGCAGAGATATATGATTAACTTCTTTCTGTAATTATTTTCAGAACAGCCATGGGTTTAGTTTGCTTAACAGAGTAGCTTTAAGCTCAGTAATGTACAGAACGACCATAGGCCTAACAAATACAGAACGGCCATAGGCCTAACAGATACAGAACGGCCATAGGCGCAGAAATATCAGAACGGCCATCAGCCCAGAAATAACAGAACAACCATCGGCTTTAAGCTCAGAAATAACAGAACGGCTTTAAGCTCAGAAATAACAGAACGGCTTTAAGCCCAGTTCATATATTTATGGACTCAAGAGGTGGCTCGCACAGATTCAAGAGGTGGCTCCCACCAAAGTGTAGCACTTAGTTCCGTACAGCACTTTGTTCCATACCAGAAATCAATAAGTCTCATCATGTCATAATATAAACGAAATGAACATCATAACGGAATAACCACAGATATCATCAGAACAAACTAGTCTTATAGTCATATAGAGGCACACGGTTTCTTTTTACCAGTCAGGTAAGGGTTCCACAGCTCGCGCGTTGCTCGGTTGTAATACACGCGCCCTCAGCCTGGCATGACCAAGGTGATCAATCTCCATCTCGGCTTCGTTGGAATGCAGTCGAGAACGGCTAGAAATGAGCCCGGTTGGAGGAGCATTACGCCGACAAGTGTGCTTGGGCTTGAAGTGGAGTATGGCCATTGGTAGCCGAGATAATATTGCCCGGCTGCCGAGCTCCCAGAAGAGTGGGCTGACAATTGGGTTAGGTGATGCTCAGCAAGATTTGTGCTGACAGATGGGATAGCAGCTCCACGTGTCAAAAGACGAATGTGAATGGATTTGGGGCGCAGAAGGTATATAAGCAAGTCTGCGCCCCCCATGCTTAGACGAATGATTTTTGGTGAGACATACACTAAACAATTCTCTCCCTTCTCTCTATCTATCCCCTGGTGTATGTTCTAACTTGACCGTCGGAGGAGTTTTCCGGCCACACACCACCGGGTAGCTCACCGCCTTTGTGTACGCAGGTGATCGGATAGAAGCGGAGCTTGGAAGAAGGAAGTACGGGCTTGCCTGAATATTTGCTCCCCGTACAAATAGGAATCACAATACATATAACAACCTAATATAATTTAGATCATTAATCTTAAGTTCATAACACAATACATAGGTATAATTTCATGGGTTGGCATGGAAACCAAAGATTGAAGTGTTAATCCCACACAACACTTAAAGATCTCAAAGCAACGAATTGATGAGAATAACTTTGTAATCAAACATGAATCGCACCCAATTCTCAATTACAAGCCCTAATTGTAAAAATATGAAACTAACAAACCCTTCCTCACAAATGGAAAGGAGAATTCCATACATGATCAAGAGAGAGCTTATGTAGAGTAAATTTAACATACCTTGAGTTCAAATTTTATAACCCTCACAAGGTTTCTTAACCTTCTTCTTGAAGAACTTCCTTTCAAGCCCTTTTATTCCCTAATCTCTCTCTCTCACGAGATTTTCTTGAAATGGGTATAAGTCAATGTTCAAGAAGCATAGACACTTATATAAAATGTGAATAAGGACAAAATCCAATCGTTTAATCATTCCGAAATTGAAATTTCGTAAACATGCTTAATATTACTTAAAAATTATGCTGATCACATATATATAATCAATTTCAGATAATTAAGCCTTTAAGGCTTCCAATTTCTGATTCAGACATTCTAAATGTAACAGATACTTTTCTTGTTAAATAGATATACATTCATAAACATTGGATTCACTTAATTAACTTAATTTAACATGGAAGTTCACAATAAGCATTTAAATACGCAGGACAAGGGACTGAAAATATATCAGAAAACATGTACGAGGGTCGGGTTATTACACTCTTCCCCCCTTAAAGAAGTTTGGTCCCTCAAACTTGTTTTACCATGTAACAGATTAGAAAGTTCAGTCTCACACTATTGTCTAATTCTGTTATAGATGATCTGTTAATTCTTCAGTTCGAACCTTTCACAGGTTAATCCGATGTTTATCACAGTTATTCAAAAGTTCTTAACATAACAAACATCTCATAGCTTTATCCAACTAATCGTTTTAATGTCTATTTGAGGCACATAGAAACAAAAATAACAACCCAGTATATTTATTCCATAGGATTATGTGTTGCTTAATATAAGACCACAAGAGTTCATGGTAGGACATGCAAAGCATAAAATCCCCGGTAGACAGAGTTTATAATCACCATATTTCCCTGTCAATAAGTTTTATAGCAACAATTTTCAAAGACCGAGACATACAATTCTCGGATACAGAAACATAATAGATAGTTTCCCCGTAAGTATACAAGTCATAACTTCCCCCAGCATCCGTTAATTTCAATCATAATAAAAATGTTCTCTACTAAGTTTCTAACTAGATCGATCCAGCAATAATCGTTCATGTGCAATTCTCATTAGAAAGTACATGTTCCAACTTGCCCAGTTCGATAATTCCTTGGGTAACTCATGTATTACAATTCACTCAAAAGTAATCATCATCAATTAAGATTATATATTTTTCAGAAGATATCCATTATGTAGTTAACTTCAAATCGTATTATGCATGATGAGATCGGATAACAGAGCCTACCAACAAGGTATACTTCATTCCAACAGTCACAAATAAGTCGCTTAAGTCCGCAGCCACCAGCTTCACAATTTGTTCTTTGTATTCCCTTATTTCTAAAAGTATTTCTTCTTGTTACATCACAAATTAACTTGGCCTCTTTTTAATCATTTCAGTATCCCCCCCCCCCCTTTTTTAGATGGTTATTTCTTTTCTTACTGTAAGACATGAGATCAATCATATGGTTCCGTATAAACAATTCATAAGTACAGTGGGTTAGCAAACAGCCATACAGAGACTATAGACCAGTCGTCTGGCTCTGTCAATTAACATAAACAAAGTATCTCGTTACTCCACATACGTAGGTCCATTCATAGGGTCATAGATTTCATTAAGCATACAGTAATCACATCCATCCGGATTTCATAAGGTCTAGAAATCAATAGGATAGTGACAAAGTAATTTAACCAACTAATATCAGAGTTAGAATTCTTGGCAAGATCAGTTCAATATGACAATAAGTCAATTCGTAATCATATCATGGGTGTGGTACATATCGGTACCATCAACATAGAATATCTCCATGTCCTATCGTTTTAACAAAGTTTACTACATCACACAGAACAGTTCATATTATAGCTCCAATACAAAATAGAGGACTAGTAATATCCAACATTTGCATTGTTCACAGAAAGGTATCACAGAAATGATTTCTCAATCTTAAATCAGTAACACATATAGGTAGGGTTTTCATTCTTGTGGTAAATTATCAAATTATCAATCATTTAGTCAATAACTAAATGACACATATAGTTCCGGTCTCAAGTAGTCAATAACTATCCATCTTTTACAAACATCATATGAGCAAACACGTAACATAGGTGGGGTTCTTCATGTCCTTAGACCATTCTTTATGAGAAACCCTGATTACAAATTACAGATTTCAGAATTTCAGATTTCGGATTACAGATTCCCATATACAATCTCGATTACATATAACAAAACTTATCATAGCTTGTAGTAAAACATGGGATAAATCAAGTTCATCAATCAAAGTCTTTCAAAACTTCTTGGATGTTAATAACATCTACATAATACCAAATGATGACATTCTGAACAAAACAAAAGGAATAACCGTCCCGGAATCGAAGCACACCCGTTCACGACCGTCGGTGGTCGACTCGGAATCGGTTAGACAACCCATCTAGAAAATCGTTGGTAGCAAAACATAATCCACCCGTACAAGACCGTCGGTGGTAAGAGATATCTCAAACAAAGGTGCTACATAAGCTTAATGTCCCCTAGCACGAAAGGACCTTTCAAGAATGTCATCAAAACAAACATAATACTAGCATCACATGTATCATTTCCTTTGGCCTTAAAAATATTTCATACTTAGAGTTTAATCACTTTATCTAAATAGGTGCTAGAAGGCACATTCATACCGTCATCATTTCCCACAGATGACTATCAACCGGTAACACACATTCATCTAACCATTGTACATAAATTCTCTTACCGATCTATTTAA